GCATAGCCCTGCCTGTGGCCTAGAGTGCTGCCTGTGGGCTAAACTAACATTAATGCCTGTAAAGGGGAATGCTTTCCTTGTAAAAATTGGCTCTCAAAGAACATAAGAATTTCTAAGATCGAAGAAAACAGCCATTTATGATTTTATTCAGTCTTATCATTAAATACTCATTAATAGCTTGAAAGAGTGCCTTAAAGACTTCTCTAATACTCCACTGCATTTTGTGAAGATGAATGGTAGTTCTGGTGGCCCTGAGCCTTAGAACGTGATCTGCCAAATGACAAAGATTCCCATCTGGAAGGCAGCATCAGATGGCCAGAAAGTCAGGAAGCCGTGTGCTAATGAAGCTACTGTGAAGGAAGGCATCTCATTCATCCTACAGAACACATCACCAACTGCATTCTCGATGGCAGTGGCATCAACTCAGGCTCACTGTTAACTCCAGCAAAGGCAGCAGATGGTTCAAGCACTGTGCCAGTATGGACACGGTGGGGATGTAAGAAATCTCTCTAACTTTCTTTCTGCTCAGCTTTATTACAGAACTAAAACTGCTCTAAAAAATAATATTTAAAAATAAAATATTAAAAGAAAAACAAAATCAAACCCAGAGGTCTCAATGTAGCGTGCAGAGCTGTTTTAACATATCTCCTCGTTTCCTCACACAGGTACCCTTTAGATGCCAGGGGACTGTACTGTTCAGCAGGGCCTCTTTCCTCTGCTTCCCAGTCAGCTAACTGCCTCCCACGCTTGCTCCTTAGAGGAGAAACATCTGTGAGCCTGAGGTATCCTCTTCAGAAGCACACCTGGCTTCCTGCCTGATGTCACAAATGGAGCAGCGCATCAGGACTTTTGTTGTTACTTTAAAGATCACTTGCCCACCTCAGCATCTGGCCACTAGTATAGATGCACACTTAAGATGCAGCCAGGAGAAAGCAGGTGCTTAAGAGGATAGAACAGCATCATATAAAGAGATCCAAGTTTCCTTCCTAAGACCTGTCCAGCTCTTGCTTCCTTCCCTATTCAAACTATCTAAAGGACTTAAGCCAAGAAGACAAACAATTACTGCAAAATCTGAATTACTGCTCAAAATAGCACATGTAAAAACAAAGGCAAATCCAGCCCCCATGATTTGCCATATCTCAAGCCATCTTGCTGACTAGAAGGATCAAATATATATGGACATTTTTGTAATTATTATTTTAATTTGAAAGCGCAAAAACTAAGTTAATTCAAATCAAGTTTGAAAAAAAGTAGTAAAGATACTTTCAAAGGCATTTTCTGAAATATACTACTTTCATCTTTGTATTTAAAATTGTGACAAACTTTATACATAGGTTGCCAAAAAATAATAAGAACAACAAAAAACCAAAAATGCAAAACTAGTTGTGGTTTATTAGTGTTTTAAAAAACTATTATTATTATGTTTAATTATGTATATAAGTGCATGCATATGTCTTTGTGAGCCTGTATATGAGTGTCGGTGTCCAAGGAGCCCAGAGGCATAGGATCCCCGGGAGCTGAATTTCAGGCAGTTGTGAGTCTCCTGGTGTGAGTGTAGGATCTGAACTCAGAATGCAAATGCAGCATAGGCTCCTAACTGCTGACCCATCTCTCCAGCCCCCATGATTAGCTTTTGAAATACTGACTAATGTTCCTACTGCCCCAGACCTCAGTACCAGGAGACCCTCCTGACTCCTTATATTTGGGTCAGCAGAAGTCCTCTTGCCCAAAGAAATGGTGCTATGAGTACCATGTTCTACACAAAATAGGATTTCTTCTTGCTGAACTCAGAATCCTTAATTTGGCAAATTTAAATGACTTTTTCCCCAAGTTAAAGCTCTTATGACTTGCCAGGTGGTGGTGGCAGCACACGCCTTTAATCTCAGCACTTGGGAGGCAGAGACAGGCAGATCTCAGTGACTTTGAGGCCAGACTAGTCTACAGATTGAGTTCCAGGACTGCCAGGAATACACACAGAAACCCTGTTTCAAAAAGAAAACAAAAACCAACCAACCAAACAAACAAAAAATCCATTATGTCTTTATTAAACTTATTTTCTTTAGCCAGCCTCCTAAATATCAGCTTTTAACACTAAGCAATGGTTCAACCATTATTACAAGATAAACATTTGCTTAAAATAACAACCCTGCAGTAGACATGAAATGCTACTGGCTATCTTGGGTTTATAATCAGTTTCCTACAGGATGCTACCATAGGAAACTAAAATGCATCGGTGGTCAGCACAGTATGAGTCCTGAATAAAGTTCTCCACCGCAGCTCCCCTAGAAGGTAGGGACATAGGCTTTTAACAGCCTGGCAGAGACCTGGCTGCCTCAGATACAAAGTTGTGGGAGTTGCATGTTTCCCAAGTCTCAGAAGCAGTATGATGTAACACATGTTTCACATCTGGGAAACAAAATATTGGAGAGCATTTTGGGCAAGTGACATATTTCAATTTTGTTTAAACTGTAGCTGTGTGTAGGGTTGTGCGTCCTAACCATGTTCCATTCTCAGCCAGGGTTTCTGCCAATGCTTCTGCTTACTGCTGTTTTAGATTACTAATAACAGATGCTAATCAGCTCTTCTCGAAAATGCACTGTTAATTTCCTGTGTTACCTTAAATAGACTGCTGTGCAACAGTGACACTAACAGTATGCTTTACTCTAAGACACCAAACAATGAGGGGAATTTTAGACTTTTTTTTTCAAGGAGAGAAGGCAAATTTTGGGAACACATACGAATCTTAAGACACCACTGTTTGCAGAAGAAATCCCACAGAGTCCATTTGAAGGAAATTTACTGCTATTTTTCTTCTTATTTAGAAGAATGCATCTGATTAGTAGATAAGATATCTCACTGAACAGTGTGACAGTGCTCCTAAGTGAGCTAAATTTCTGAAAAGCACCCCTGCATCTCCTCACCTCAGCCCACTCCTGGCTGGCTCCAGAGAGCTCCCAGCCCCTCCTTGCTTACTCAGTGTGATACCTCATGTTCCTCTGTGGAAATGCCCTTCCTTCCCCAGGCCAGACAGCCTGGTGATATCAAGGCATTCCCCTGGCCGACTAGGCAGGTTAGGGAAAGGACAGGTTATGGCAGTCTTTTATGACTTCTTTAATGCACATGGAAGCATGCAGTGCCTTACTGAGTGACAGCAGGAGGGCTTCTGGACATAGTATTCTATGTTACACAGAAACACAGAGCCAGGTATCATAAACGAAGACTGGATTCACAGCAGACCTTTAAATGCAGCAACCAACCTCCCACCCTGTCACTGGCCCCCTTGCAGAATACGTCATCAACGTTTCTCTCCCACCATTTTCTCATCACCCAACTCCAACTCACAACTGCTGGCTTCCCAGTCATAAACCTCCAACTTGTCAAATTCAAGGTCACTGTTTAGCCCATCTTACTCAGCACAGCAGAAGTTAATAACTCCCGAAAAGTTCGCTTCACTGGATCTGTGAGTTACAGCCTGTCCACCTCCCCAGCTTCTGACCCACTTGTAAACTAGTCTCTATATACCCTTCCCTCCTCTAGCAGAACCCTTTCTATATGGAACTAACTCACGAGCTCTGACTCACACAGAGGTGCCATGGCATGTACAGGTATACACACCTCTCTTACAAACATACAAAAGAAATATACTTTTTTGAAGTTTAAAAAAATATAAAACACCGAAACCCATCAAGAAATATATTTGCCATACTATCCAAAGTATTGTATGTTTCCAATATACACAGCTTAAAAAAAAAAATGTCCCGAAAAGGCTAAAGATGGTGGCACATGCATTTAATCCAGACCTTGAGAGGCAGAGGCAGGCAGATCTCTGTGAGTTTGAGGCCACCCTGGTCTATATATCAAAGTCCAGGCTATCCAGGATTACATAGTAAGATCTTCTCCCCACCAAATCCTGAAAATAAAACACTCATAACTAGAGAAGGAGGTGGTGATATCTAATCAATGCCTACTGTATAATGTGTGGAAATATCTTACTGAACCCATTAATATATTTATAATTGATAAGTTAATAAAATCAGTAATTTAAAAATACTATTCTGTTTTCTGGGGAGAAGGAATTTAAAGATTGTTTCTCTGTGCAGCCCTGGCTGTCTTGAAACTCATTTTGTAGACCATGCTGGCCTCAAACTCAGAAATTCACTTGTCTCAGTCTTCTGAATGCTGGGATTAAAGGCCAAGCTACAAAAATACCCTATTCTTTTTTTTTCTTCAATTTTTTTTTTTGGGGGGGGTGTTTCGAGACAGGGTTTCTCTGTGTAGCTCTGGCTGTCCTGGAACTCACTTTGTAGACCAGGCTGGCCTCGAACTCAGAAATCTGCCTGCCTTTGCCTCCCAAGTGCTAGGATTAAAGGCGTGAGCCACCACCGCCGGGCATTTTTCTTCAATTTTTAAGATTTATCTATTGTATGTATGTGAGTATACTATCCCTCCCTTCAGACACACCAGAAGAAGGCATCGGATCCCATTACACATGATTGTGAGCCACTATGTGGTTGCTGAGAATTGAACTCAGGACCTCTGGAAGAACAGTCAGTGTTCTTAACCACTGAGCCATCTCTCCAGCCACAATATGCTATTCTTAAAAATAAATAAATAAATAAATAAATAAGAATCAGAGGACTGTACATGAAGGCCACAATTGTTTCTTACTTTAAACCCATTATTTTAAACTCACAGCAATTCACCTGCTTCAGCCTCTCACCTGCTGGGATGATAGGCATTGAGCCACAATATTGGGCTAATAATATCATTTCAGAAAACCAATCTGGGCTGGAAAGATGGCTCAGCCAACCAGTAGTTCTTGGACTAGTTAGGGCAGGTATGCTTTATAGTGTAAGCACACATGCAACATGCAAGTATTTTTTTCATTCCATAGTATATATAAAATGTCATATACCTAAAGAGACAAAAATGGGAAAAAAGATGACCGGAGTGTGCTAGCTGCTACCACTGCAGAAAACAAAACCCACTCAAGTACTTACTGGTCAAGAGTCTTGTAGTAGATGTCCAGGTCCTTATTCACCAGCTCTGTGGTTCTCATGACAATCATCATTTCTCTATACTTTTCCTCGGCATCCCGAAACTGAGGCTCTCGGAGCTCCTTCTTAAAGTGAAGAATTTCTTCTTCATAGCCTTTCTGTCGTCCCAATGCCAAACTGTGATTTCTCTTTATGGTGTCTATGTTCTCTTCCAACTTCTGATGCTCACTAGAAATAATTAGTGAGGACTACTGTTTAGGTTTTTGGCAACCTAGCAGAAAGTCCCTTCAGACAGGTGTCATTCTCCTCAGTGATGAGTACACGATAGCAGCTCTCCTTGTTTTCTAAGACTTTTGAGCTAATTCCCTTCCTTCCAAACTTCTGCAGGATTGAAGTTTCTGAGCAGCAAACTTTTGTACAGCAAACAACCCTTACAACACATGAGCACCACAAAGCCCTGGCCTTTAGGCACTGATGAGGTAAAGGACTGCTAGGGAGTCACACAACTGAGTCACACACTCACACCTAAGAACGGCTACCAACTGCCCACAGTGAGAAGCTACTGGATAACAGGCTTCAATTGGTTTTATTTACAAATGTCAAAGACACAGTACAATTTAATCTACAATAAATTATTTTCTATAGTAAAATTCATTAAAAATTTTTGTTTCTGTTGCAAAAGTCTAAAAATAATAAATCTAACCAAAAAAAGTAACATATTCAAAAAATTTTGGTACCCTCACAGATTATACAGACTTCAACATATGCCTTAAAATTTTTTATTTGTTTATCAACCACTTAATAAGTACCTGTTATGTGCTAGACATTGCTCACAAGTTTAGGGAATTATTATATAGTTACCTGGTTATCTATTTGATTGATACTTCTGCCATTTCCTAGTAGTGAAAGTTCTGTTAAGGAAGAGATGTGCGAAGCAGTCTGAAGCATGCTCAGCCAGGTGTGGTGGTGCATACCTTTGATCCCAGCACTTAGAACACTACCTAGTGAGACCTTGTCTAAGAAAATAGCTAAATTTTTGCCGGGCAGTGGTGGCACACGCCTTTAATCCCAGCACTTGGGAGGCAGAGGCAGGCGGATTTCTGAATTTGAGGCCAGCCTGGTCTACAGAGTGAGTTCCAGGACAGCCAGGGCTACACATTGAAACCCTGTCTCGAAAAACAAAACAAAACGAAAGAAAGAAAGAAAGAAAGAAAGAAAGAAAGAAAGAAAGAAAGAAAGAAAGAAAGAAA